TTATATTTGTAGCTGATTTTATTGCAGTAAAACTAGTTTTACAGTCACGCGTTGCAAAAGGACAAATCAAGTTTCAATCAAGACTCACAGAAAAGCTGTTAACTTGCATTTTATTGGGCACAAACACATATTTTTACTGTTTTGCTATTAGTATTATATTTACAGGAAGCTTGTGGCTTTAAAAACAGATTAATTCACTAATATTGTTCTGGTCCTACAGCTGCTTTGTGCTTATATTTAATATGCAAGCAGCTCGTTCCACATCAGTTTTATGCAGATATCTGATTAATGCGTCCTGCACCGCCAGCATACAGTTAATTAATGGACGCCAACACGTATATTTGGTGCCTTTCTGTCAGATTCCAGGTGCTTCTTCTCACATTTGTCTCTGTGAAGCTTTTACCTGATTGAACGGATTCCCGGCTCCGTTGCATAATAACCGATATTACGTAATCCGCATGAATTAATGCACCTTCCAAACGTGGGGCTGTGATTTCCAGCCACGTTTTTAAAGAAGACCGGCCTGGGAAAAAAAAAAAAAAAAGGGACCCGAGCACTTTTGAAAACTCTCCTGCCAAAGAAGACTGGCGGTTGCCAAGTTGGCCGACGCGTTGGAGCTTATCGGTCGCATTAGTGGCGTCCACAAATAGCCGCTCTGCAAATATTGTTCTGCATCTGGGGTTCAAACCGAGTGCGTCGACCGAAGCAACAACATGAATGGGAGAGGCGTCCTCAGGAGGGCCTCGGACTGTGACGGCGTCGGGTCTCTGCGTGCAGAACCGGAATGTTCTGGGCTCGGTGCAGTCGGGTCGAGTCTGCAGGATCCCTCGCGGCGGATCGTCTTCAGCTGACGGTGCAGCGGCGCAGGGTTCTGTTGGTCAGAAGGTTCAGATGCGACCGTGGTCAGGACAAACCTTCAGAGGTGTTAAACTCGTCTGCTCGTGTTCTGGCTGCTGGTCCAGACGCTCACTAGACTTTTATCAGGGTCAAAGGTCAAAGGTCAACGAACTGACAGGAGTCCCAGTTTGCAGGTTGTTTTATTTAGTATAAACAGCACAAAAGGTGGAAAACTGACATTAAAAACTGGAAAACCAAAAAAAGGTGACAAACATCCATAGAGTGGTGATATTTAAAAACATGAAGACAGCATCGTTTGTCGGTCAGATGCTGCATGTTTGATGTGAACATTATGTTCTGTTTTATTTTACACAGAAATGAATTCTGTCTGCTGTGATTTTACTGGATGTTCTCTGCATTATGACAAAGCAGAGAACAAATGCTTCATTTAGTATATTTTAACATGATTTAGCATTATTTCTATCTTTAACATACATTGTTTTTAGTTCAAAAACTGACAAAAAATTGCTTTAAAAAAAAAAAACAGAAACTGTCATTTTATGGTCAAGAACAAATAACTTTGTAACTTAACTACTAACTATAACTACAGATTATTATTATTATTATTATTATTATTATTATTATTATTATTATTATTATTATAACAAATACATCATTTTTAATGTGGATAGTATACACAGCCTTGGCCTGTTTTATTTTTTGTTTGTTTTAAATTCATATATTTCATTTTACTTGATATCTGTAATTTAACAAAACAGTTCCAGCCTCTCAGATGACAGGTAAAACTTTGCACATAACTGTTCTTTTAAACAACAGAATATATCTGCGAAATAATGACATTTTTGCTCATTTAAACAGAGTAAAAAAAAAATTTTTGATATGAATTTTTATTTACACACGTGGACAAAATAGTTGGAACCCCTCAGTTAATGAAAGAAAAACCCGCAGCGGTCACAGAAATAACTTGAATCTGACAAAAGTAATAATAAATAAAAATTCTATGAAAATCAACCAATGAAAATCAGACATTGTTTCTGAACCGTGGTTTAAAAGAATTATTTTTAAAAAATAAACTCATGAAAATGATTTTTCTGATTTAAACAGAGTAAAAGAGTAATTTTAGTCACATGTTGTAAAAGAACAAATCATTATTTCTAGAAATATTTGTTAAAAACAATTTTTCTTTTCTTTTTACTTTTTTTTTTTTTTTTTTACAGCTAACAAGTAAATTGGTACTTTTTAAAGTAATTTATGTAGTTTTTGATATTTTACAAAATTGAGAAAATCTGTAAAATAATAATAAATCGTTCTGTTTGGTTTTTTTTTTACACTTTTAATAAACAGAAACGTGTTTGTGTTTTTGTCTTGCAGCGTCAGAAAAAGCTCGTTTCCTGTGAAGGTTTGTCGCTCGGCTCTGCAGCTCCACATGCGAGGAAAGCCCAAGAGCGTCACCGTGGAAACCAAAGCCGGCCAGACCAACACCGACTTCAAGAAGAGTCGGGACGGGTTCGTCCTGCTGGTTCCCGCCAACTAACGTCCAAACATCCGAACCTCCTCAATATCCGAAGACGCGTCCGTCCGGGTCAGGTCTGGGTCAGGTCTGGGTCGGGTCTGGGTCAGGTCTGGGTCAGGTCCGGGACGGAGATGACACCGTGGACTCAGGACTTTGTTCTCACGTGGACCGTTCTCGTGGTTTTAAAGTGTTGACTCGGAGCAGAACCTGCTTCTTTCTGCTGAGCTGCAGCAGGTTGAAGTTCACCGGACAAAGACGAGAGGCAACGTGGAGACGCTGCTGCAGTAAAATAGCCGCTTTTTCTGCTGTTTTATTAAATATTTGAAGGTATTTTTTTGATAGAACAAATTGCACATGGCGATAGATAAACGAGTGAACACGTCTATTTTTGTATTTTCTCACGCTGTTGCCTGCAGACTGCAGCAGCTACTCCGTGTCAGAAGTGATGAAAAGGGGAAAGAAAAACAAGACGGTGGAAGAAAATAAATTATTCAAGGTTTACTAAAGCGAGTTCTTCTGTGTTAATTTGTCCCCGACGCTTCGTTGCTCTGACATTCAGCAGAACATCTGTGTTCCGCGCTGATTACAAGTCGGATGTGTTGTTGGGGCTTCGAAGGAAAAGCAAAGAGAGTCTGAGAGAAGGAGGTCAGGTTTCATTCAGTTTTTCTGTTTGTGAGGACGATTCTCTGCAGGAAACCATTCAAGTGGATCAATCAGACAGAGACGTGGACTCTGGTTCCTCTGTGTGTCTGCAGCAGATCAGCCGTCTGATAGAAGCTCTGCTGTTCATTTATTCTGCTGTTCAGCTCTTCCCCTTCGGTTGTGTTTGTTCTTGTTCCGTCTGTGAGTTCTCTGCGTCCACCTGAACGCTACGGAGATAAATAAAGCCGCTTTAAGACAAAACTCCAGTGAGATGCGAGTTGATGCTGCAAATACAGTCGTGGCTCCATAATCCGACCCTTAACAATCCTAAACCTGCTATCCGACAGGTTTTTAGGAAAACCAACAGAACCCATAAAAACAGCCTCAACATAGCGACAGCCTTGGATTGTGACTCCGACATGACATTTAATGTCACCAATCAGGATGACGGCGTATTATCTGACTGAACAATCCCACAGATTGGCTACGTTCACACTGCAGGACTTGATGCTCAATGAGGATTTCTTTGTGACTTCCTTCACGTTTCCAGTTCAATGCGACTTGTATGTGATCTGCTGTGTGAACTTCATACGACCCAAAAGTGTCCCGCATGCGCAGAAGAGGACACGACGACGTCACACGCAGCGAGCGTGCTCAGTGTTTATGGAAGTAAACATGGATGGTAACGGTGGAGCGTATCTGCCACTCCCCCGCCGCCACCGATGGAGGAAACAGAAGTGTGAGCGCTAACTAAACTAGCATCAGCAGCCAAGTACTGCCTGTGTGTTCTGGACACTTCCACCCCGTCAGAGCGCTGCCCCGGGGTGGAAGTGTCCCCTCCCAAACGGATATTCATCATTAACTGGGCCTGAATATCCAGAGAGCAGAAAGTGCCATTGGGACCAGCCCTACTAGTTATTATAACAACTATGAACAATAATTAACAACTAATGAGCCTTCCAGCATCAAGCCCTCCTCGTATCTGGACCTCCGTCTGGACAATCCGACAGCCTTGCTATCCGACATAGAAGAAGGTTTTACATTTAGTGTCGGATTATTGAGTCATGACTGTCCGTCCTTTAATTTGCTGAGCTGCTGTTGGGTCAACGTGGTTAAAGTTTCAGCTTCGTGTATTTTCCATTCGTGTGTCTTCGAGCGTTTGTTGGGTTGAGCGACTTCTCATCTCTACATCAGAGGTTTGATGTGCAGAATTAGCGCTCTGCATCTTCTAAGAGATTCAGGGAAATGAAGTGAAAACTCAAACACAATCCAAAAAAATGCAGTTTCACGTGTGTGAGTTTAAACTTTTAGTTATTGAAAGTATTGCCCCAATATGCAGTGTTTTCTTGTGCTCTTTACGTTGGAGATGTATCCTGCAACGTTAGCGTAGCTTTATAAGGATTCACACAAAGACAGTGCAGTTCCACATCCATCGTTGTTTAATGTTTTTATTTAGTCTGACTGAAAGTTGTTGCCTCGATATGCATTTAGAAACTGAATTTAGACACCAAAAAAAGGTAAAGCAAGTAGTTAAGTTTGCATGCGGTCGCCTTAATTTATGCAAATGAGAAGCGGAAAACAAACACGTCTCTGAAACGCATCGTGACACGACCGCTGATCTCCTGCTCGTGCAGACGACGAATAAGAAGCGATGATAAATCCTGTCGACACGAAGCAGCAGCAACACGTGTGGCGTCTGCAGATGACGAAGCTCAAACCGTTTTTCCATTTTCACACCTGTGATCTTCAGACTGAGCTGTTGTTCATCAGGGTTTTCTTCTGGAGACACTGAAGGCTTTATACAAGTTTACATCACGTGTATAACATTTAAAACTGTGAAATTTACCCCTTCAGGGCTTAAATCAACTGTTTCACATCAAAAGGCTCATTATAAATCCAACAAACATCCACTGTTGTGTGTTTTTGAAGCTTTAAATGCAGCTGCTGATCCTCCAGCAGCGCATTTCTTCCATTTTCACACCTGTCGTCTTCAGACTGAACTGTTTTAAGTTATTCATCAGTTTTCTCGGCTCCTTCTGGAGACACTGAAGGCTTTATTTATGTGTTTACATCCTGTATATAACATGTAATATTGTGGAAGTTCCCCCTTTAGGACTTAAATCAACTGTTTCTCATCAAAAGGCTCATTATAAATCCAACAAACATCCACTGTTGTGTGTTTTTGAAGCTTTAAATGCAGCTACTGATCCTCCAGCAGCGCATTTCTTGAAACTCTTTGCATCTCGGTTGAGTCTTCGTCCCGTCGTTTCTCCAGATTGTGCCGCTGCTTTGTGTTTCGGAGGGGCGCGATTTGCATAACCAGAACGTACTGTATCGCGGCTGTATAATTTACAGCACACTCAGCGAAATCTAATTTAACTGTGTGACTGTGAGAGTGTGTGCGGCGCCGTTGTGTTTGTGTGCAAGACGTTCACACCTGTGAGAGTCGATTTAACGCCTCCGAACCGCCGAGAAAATCTTCAATCAACACCTGGAACAGCAACACGCAGCATGTGATCAGCTGTTACCTCTGATGTGAACACGTGACCGTCGGCGTGTTCCTGTGGGCTGAGGTGGTGTTTTCTGTGCAGCACAAGCAGGTATCATGTGTCCACTTCTATTTACGGGCGCCACAGCTTCAGCATCGGAGCTGCCGTTCATCCAGATTTAAATATAAACCGGCAGAGTTGCATCTTCTTTTAATTCAAATGATTTCACGAACCTCTCAGCAAACACATCCAGGAGCTGAGGAGCAACTTTACCCTTAATTTGGAATCATGTTTTCATCCATTTGGTTGATATAAATCCAATGTTCTCTCTGTTTTTTGCTCCGTTTTTGGTCTCCACCAAGTGAAATATTTGGCTTTTTAGCTGCTGAATGCTTCAGTATGTTCACCAGGGAGGTAGAAAACGGGGATTTTTTTCCTGAAAATAGTGAATCTGGTCCGAAACATGAGCCGAATCTGCTAAACGTGGAGCAGAGCTGCAGATTCAGGTGATCATCTTCTGCAGGTTCGTCATCACACAGCGACGTCTTTCACATCGTCATGTTGTTTTCACACATTGTGCCCTATTTTTTGCATATTCTCTGCTTCTGTCTAACTCCTGAGCATTCACCGAGTCTCCGTCAGCGTCGTGTCGATGGACGTTCAGCTGCTGCAGTAAAACGTTCAGATGAACGCTGACAATTTTGAGTTTAAAGGATTCTGTTGAACCAGCAGTGAGTATAGATATATAATATTAATCCACCATGAATACTTTGACCAGAAACTGCTGTGGACTGTAGCTTTCCTAATTGTGAATCTGATAATTGACCATTTCAGACAAACCACGAAGCTCCAGAGTGACGGAAACCTGCCGAACATCAGGAGACTCTTCATGTGAAGGTGATCAAATAAACTCTGTAAATGAGCCACAGTGTCAGAAACAGGAAGATAAATACTGTGGAAGTGAAACATCGAACTCAAAATTTAAAAATCTACCTTTTTAGCTTTTGTTTTGCACCATTTAAACAACATCAACACAATAATTTGAATTCAATTTGACAGTATTGATCGATTTACAGACTGTAGCTTCTGCTTTTTATATGAACTAATTCTAATCACCATACAGCTACATGTCTTTTAAAATTTGCTGCTTAAACTAGTTTACAAAATAAAACTATCTGTAAAACCAAAGGCTGATGCTACACAGCCGAGCATTAATTTGTTTTCTGATGATTATTTTTGAGCAATTTTGATTCTCAACTAAAGTTTTATCTGCAAAAATATTAAAATAAAGCAAACTAGATGCATCGTATTGGCACAGGAACCGACATGTGTTCAGCTGGTTGATGCAGAAACAGGATAAATATGTTTTTTATGTTTGCTCGTGATTTGCTGCAGAATCAGTTTTACACTGGAGCCAATAGAATCTAGATTAGAAAACTGACAGAGAATAGTCAATAAATGACATTATTTCACAAAACTAAACTTATTTCCACGTCTCCTTCGTTATGGCACAGAGTCAGATCTAAATGAATGAAGTTTAAAGTTTCAGAGCTTAATTTTTAGCTGTACGTTAGAAATACGCAGCTGCTAAAATACATTTTTACTTACAGCATTTTTCAACTGATTTCTACCAGCATTCCTCTGTTGCATCGTACAGTAGCTGCACTTTGTAGGAAAATAACTGTTTTTATCTCCTCATTATAACAACCAGAGGGAAGTAGGCGGCACGTGATTGGTCCATTTGTGCAGAAAAAAAAAGGTCACATGATGCACCCGAATAAGAAGTTCACAAAGAAAGTTGAAAACTATTCATATTATCCCTGCTTGAGGTTTCAGGTTTTGTTAATCCAGTTAACACAAACGAAGCCTGGATTTGTTGAACTGGCTTCATGGTGCGTCACTTCAAAACCAAAATAAAGTGTTTAGACGCCAGTTTTGTGAACAATAATTTAAGTAGCTACTGCAATAACTACTTCTTTATGCAACAACACAATTCTAATGCTAATATCACCATTATTATGCCCATATTTCTGATTTAGATTCTGAAATCGACTCTCCAGAAACCTGACAGTAACCAGGTTAGTCGCGAGCGTTTCCAGGTTGAGCAGCTGTGCAGCCTTCATTCTGAGCTCTTCTGGTTTTAGTTATTTTTAAGATCTCATTAGTCAGAGTGAAGTGAAAGTCAACAGAAATAACTTCAACCTCTGCACACGTCAGCCTCTCTCTGCTCTCCTGCATGGGTCCGGTGGAGTTAATTGTGCATCTAGTTTAGCGTTCGGTGTCTTTCTTAAGTCTCAGAAAGTAAAGAAAACACAGCCTGATGTCTGTCGCTGTGTTGGTGCACCAGACTCCAGTAATCTGCTGCAGCTCTCCTCCCAGTTACAGCTCCGCCAATCAGCTGTGCGTTTAGTTCAATCACACAAACACAGATTACTGCATATATGCTGCCATGTAATCCTTTAATCATTGATGTAAAAGCCACGATTTGTCAATTGGGTGTGAGAGCAGCCTTTAAAAGCCCCTCAGTTATCAACACATTCAAAGCTGTGAATTAGGAGTATTTGGTCAATTTAAAATCTCTACATATACAAGGATCTGTAAAATATTGTTATTTTTCTACTAGCGGATAAATATGTGCAATAATAATAGTTGTCTATCAGTATTTCTACTCATGAAAGAATCTGTGCACTACCGTTGATATAATATGTGTAATATTAGTAGGAATTTCGACCATCTGAGCTCCTATTTGTGTATATTGTTGCTTTATTTTTA